GTTACTTCTGTAAGCATTTTAATGAAGCCTTTAATTTACATTCACAAAATACCTTCTATTGAATAGAAAAGGCAAGAATACAACCTTCAGTTTTCTAAGTTCCTTGCAAAATTAAAGCATAGCCTGAACGCTTAGGAGCACTTGATTTTTATATGCTTGCATTCTCCCTCATTACTTAAGCTCATTGTCAACAGATACTCAAAAAACTTTCACATTAGCAAAGGTGTTGGCAGAATTACATATAATAAAACCAAAGACTTTGCCAATTGACAGTTCTTTCATCTCCAGGAGGTTGGACACAATATCAAGCAGCCCCGGGCTAAGGCAAATCAGCCTCCAAGGGAGTCTAACTGAATTTTCCACTCCGAGGGGAGAGAACTAACACTACAAAAACAGTACTGGAACACAAAACTCATCTAAAACAGAAGTCATCAACTTGCGCAACTAGATCGATTGTTTATGGACTATAGATTGATGAGGCTTGACAAAGGAGGTGAACCTCTGAAAACGCATTGCCTGGCAACAACCGACGACCCAGGAGTACTCAGCAGCTGTGACCCTACTTTGAGGAGAACCAGCCACTGGATCAGACCTGTGTCTTCCAGCACAGGCGTCCTGGAATCTTTCTGGACTGAACTGGACCCTGCTCTCGCCATATCCTGATAGCAATCTTGGACCAGTAGCTGAGATGAGACTTTCATCTGATGTGTGACAGGCGAGATGTTTTTTAATAACCTGTAAGTGCATTACTTTTAACCTTAATAAATAGTCACTTTACACTGCACTAAGATCTGTGCACCGGTTTTCTATGTTTTCTTCACAAAACTCATCAAATCGGTAAACATTAATGCTGTACCAATTTACTGCAACAGTTCCAGATTGGTTCTGTTAAGAGAAAAAAAAATACTTAATCTTACCTGTGCATTAAGTTTCTTGGAGTACATCACAGAAAACAGGTGGTTAGTTCTGGAACCAATGTGTTCTGCAGATGCCTTCAGGTGATCAGACACTGGCAAATCAGATTTGTAGGGACAGTCCTGTATAACTCCTCCACTCTCAGCCTGCCTCAATGTTGTAGCAGGCTGAACAAGAGGGGGATCACAGAAAACAGAAGGAGGGGTCCTAAGTCTTATGATGTACTCTAAAAAACGGACTTGGTAAAAGTATGACCAGAGGATCAGCAGGCACTTACAGAATTGCCGTACTGAAGGCTGATGCTAAAAAGCCCAAGATACACTAAGGCTCCTAGGAGAGTGTGCCTTGACTGGAAACAGAGGGAACTTTACCCTTTAGTCCACAAGCATGAGTGATAGTTCAGCTAATCCAGCTAGCAATATTGGAACGAGATGCCAGATGCCCGGTGCAGGGACCTTCATTAATGAGTCGGAATTGCTTATGAAAGCTGTAGCACAGAGGTAAACTTGAACAGCTTGAACCAGGTCTAAACTGGGGAGAAAAATGTATTCAAGATGTTTAGGTGCAGGTACAAGGATGGTAAAACAATAACCTGTTTAAAAGGTGGAAGGCAAGGACCACCATAGGAGGAAAGGAGGCCTTAGGTGTCAGTACAAAGTTATCCTTGTAGATAGCCAGAAAAGGCTCTTTTACAAGTCAAGGCCAACAAGTCAGAAACACATTTCATAGAATGGATGGCAAGTGAACAGCATCATAGGAAATAAAGGCCTTCACAAGAAGCGGGAGACACATGGTCTCTGGGGGGGAACTGGCAAGGCAGAAATCTGACCTAGTCTTCTGCCAACATTCATAGAGGATAGATGCAGTTTTTTGGGGGATAGATCCTATAGGCAAAAAACAAGGTATTGGTACATATAGTTATCAGTACCCAGGGGGTATAGTGCAACCTTTATATCACATAGTACCATGCAGAGAAGCTGCTGATCCCTGAACCCCAATTGTCAAAATAACACATTTAAGAGGCACTGGTGCTTGTGCTCACTCAAATCATCCAGATAGGGGAAAGTTTGCAAATAATCTCATTGGCACCAGCAAACACAGCTCCCCAAGGCCTGTTTTGTTTGGGAGCTGCCCTGAACCCTAACTGCATGCTGATTAAAGTATTAAAGTGTGCTCTCTCAGAATTAACTATGTGGTATAGGTGAGACAACTTGAGTGCAATATCAAAGTCTGGAAGTGCCTAAGGAATATGAGTTCTTAAGTATGGACCCTTTAAGTTTATGCCTGTTACCCCAGACGAAGAGCTTGAGAAGGGAGTCTATCGTTTTAAAGCATCTCAGGGGCAGGGGAATGCCATAGTACAAAGAACATTTTTGTAATTAGAATCATTTTTACTAACCTTACTTTGCCCATAACCCCTAATGAATGTTTAGTCCAAATTTGACATCTATTTTTAATAAGTGTAATAAGAGGTTCAGTATTTAGCAGGATGAAGTCACTAATGGTTAAAGTTGAATTTCTAAGTTCTTCATGGAAATGGCTCGGACTACAGGTATGGAAGCTTGGTCTGCGTAGGAAGATGGTCTATTGGTAGGATTTGATATTTGTCCAAACTAAGTTTTAAACTTGAGAACCAGTCAAATTGTTCAATGACATGTAAAACAGCCTGTAGGGATGGACCCACATCCTTCAAATACACTAAAAGATAATCTGCACAGAGCCCAAGCTTTTCGGTGAAATTTCCCATTTGCAATGGTGTGCCGCAGCACTGGTGCAAATGGAGATTGCCAGTGGGTCCACAACCAGAGTATATAGCAATGGAGTTAGAGTGCATCCCTGCCTCATAACCCTGGAAAGGGGGAAAGGCTACGATGTCCTCCCATTGGCTGATACTCTGGCAACAGGAGCATGATACAGTAATTGTAACCACTTCATAGAGTTAGGGCTAAACACATAATTATGGAGACATTGCAACACAAAGCACCACTTAACGGAATCTAATGCCTTAGCGGCAATAAAAGGTCACAATCCTCCTGGTGCCATTATTATGTTGAGCCTGGGGAATCAGAAATAACCTGTGTTGAAGGTGTGTCTTTCAACTCAGCTGACAGCTGTAGAAGCATAGTACATTCAAGAAAACTAGTAAAATCAGAATCTGAGCAGTCCAGGGTTGTGGAATATAGGTTGCTGAAGTAACTGTGTATTGACCAGTGACCGTGGTGTTGTGGAGGCCCTCCCACACAGTATAACACATCTAGTGAGGGGTGTCATTGTACGTGTTGAAGTTGCCGATCCATATAGCCAGTACTGTAGGGAATTGTGCCATAAAGGAGAGACCCTCGTGGATCACCACAGGATTATAAGGGGGACGACGACATAATAGCGAAGATAACATATGAGTAGGAGAGAATAAGCATGAATATGTACCTGCCATGCTGGTCCTTTTGTCAATCGTGATATTGGTTTTCCCATTGAATAGAGCAACAGTCTCTAAAGCCTTGGTTCTCAACTGGTGGGCCGTGACCCAAAAGTGGGTCGCGACCGCGTGTTCAGTGGGTCGCCGCATGCCTTCCACTTTTCTAGGTGAAAGACTCTCCAGCCTTTCACTCTAGCACAGCACTGTCCATTCTTACACTGAGCAGCCATTCAAAGTATGCTGCCTGTCTCAGAGTGTTAACTTGAAGTGGGGTGGGCTGGGGGTATGGCCGCAAAGTAGCTCCATCCATACGTTCAATGCTTCTAGCTCCCTCGCATTTCCTATAGGAGGTGTCTGGACTGGAGTGATGTCACATTTTGGCTCCCGGCTCCTCTACAGGGAGTGCATGGGAGCTGCACAAGCAATGCACGTATGGGTGGAGCTCCGTTATAGCACGGCAGCCCACACTGCTGTGCGTTCCATTGCAGTGCGACTTGGGTTGCGACTTAATGATCAAGGACAAATGTGGGTCCTGAGGTTACACAGGTTGAGAACCACTGCTCTAAAGGATATATCACAAATCATAATATGCCAATATTGCAGGGTTTAATACAAAAGTGCCACATCAGAGTATAAAACAAGAACCAAACTTAAGTGTGAGATTATAACTTTAGCTAGGGAAAACATTTTTGGCCGAACAGGATGCAGGTACCGACATGTGGGTTGAATGATGGAAGTGTGTGATGTTATAGCATGAACATTTGGTGGAGCAGCTGTTGCAGGAGTAGCGTGAGAGAAAGTTAATTTGTTCTGCTGGAATGTGGGTATGACGAAGGGCTAAGGGATGCTGGGCATGGGGAACATTAGCAGTCTGCCTGATGTGAAGGCCAAAAAGGTCATTAGCAATTATTTCTATTTTTAGGTCATGGATCGGTTGATACGTTTTTAAGCAAAGTTTCAGGAGATTACTGTAGGTCACATACATTTGTGTCAAGTAAGAATTTGAGGAGCCATGTATAGGAATGCAATTGCAGCTCAGTCGTAGAAGACAGAACAAGAGTATAGGAGTAGAAAAATAATAAACTCACAGGGGAAGGGTGGCAAGGGTAATCATGGGGTCAACCTCAATCGGGGTCCCCAGTGTCTCTTTGGTCCAAGCAAAAACCTCCTGGGTAGGTAAAGGAGTGATTGCGATCAACAGTTTGTAGACTAATTAGATACTGCATGGAGTATTAAAGGGACACTAAACCAAATGCATTCAAATATCTTCACTAAAAAACATACCATATTTGTGCATCACTCGGCTGTAGATCTTCAAATCATCTCAGAATTGGTGCCGACACTGTCCTTCCTCCTGGAGGGGGGCTACTTTTGTTCCCCATGGTGTGTGTTTTAAAGTAGCCATCGCTGCAAGGGGACTCCCAAGATGGACAACAATCTCAATATAAATTTGAAACCTAAAAACGTGAGATTGTAGTCCATGGAGAAGGACAGTGAGCACAAATCCAGAGATGTTTTGAGGATCTACAGCCGAGTAATGCACAAAAAAAAAAAAAAAGTACAGGTGTATTAATATAGTTAATGTACTTCAATGCATTTCGAAGATTTAACACCCAAGTTTAGTGTCTATGTAGGATTCACAGTCGTCTCTTGGACTCCAGGTATTTTGCACACTGCCACTGGAATTCAGCTGAGAATAATCAGGAAGATTGCGTTCTTGGGGTCACAGAATAGGATAAGGCCTTTGTCCCTAGTAAGGCATATAACTGTATCCCTATCCCTGTAGTTGAGCATCTTTGCTATAATGGTAAGGAGAGGTGCTCCCAGAGGTGGTGATATAGTCAGTGTGAGGTGAGCATGCTTGACTGCAAAAAGTTGTGACCAGCAGGTGTTCTTGAAAAGCAGCCAAATAGAAGCCTTTGGGACCTTCAAGGAGGCTTAGGAGTTGTGAAGTATCCTGCCTCTGTGTCACCAGCTAAAAACAGTTGCTGCATCTGCCTGGAACTTTCAGTAGCTGTAGTTGATCTTGAAGATAAAAAGAATGCAGAAAAGAATGTGCCTTTCATAGCAGAGAGAAGGTGTCCAAGCTTGCCCCAGATTTTGTTACTATTCTTAGGTAATGAAGTGGGAGGGGTTATACAGGGCTTGAATTTGCCAGTGTCCAACCACCTGAAGGTAGCTGCATAACCCATTGGTTTCAGAAATAACTCCCTGTGCCCTGTGATGTACAGTCAAGAAACATTACATACAAAAGAACCTCTGAATTAAAAGGCGGCAACATATTTGAAATGTAATACAATTTTGATATTTGAAATTAAGCCAACCTGTGTAAAATGAGCACAACATTAACTACAAGGGAGCTTTCCCATAAGCCAATGACTACAAACAAAAATATTTACTTTGGAAAAAACGAGTTGTCTAAGATGTACACACAGATTATGGCCATGTGTTTTTGTTACCTTCGCAGGCAGTCTGTTAAGGTTGTCGTTCCTGACACATGACTTTCCCCATTCACCACACCACTGTCACCACCAGGGCTCAGCGGCCAAAATGGGCTTGAAGAACCTGGTAGATCCAAGCTGATGTCCCAGAACGGGTCTATTGTTGTTGAAACCCCACTAGAAGGAAAAAAAGACCGTATTAATTCATACACTTTTATGCAAGAAAATATCTGCATGAACCCTTACAAAACTCCATAGCTTGATCCACCGTTTGTGTTTTTGCAATCTTTAAAAAGCACATAGCAGAAATATTTTTTCCTCAAAAAGGAGAACTATGAGGTGAGCGATTTACACTCCTCCTCATAATTAGAGCCGATGTGTGACATTGAAACTGTCACGTCGGCTCTTTTGATCGGGAAGTGAGCGAACTTATACAGTTGCTTGCTCACTTCCAGATCATCTCCCTGCAGAGAGCGCCCCCTTCCCTCTCTGATCCACTCAGCTGTCAATCTGCCAGTTGAGTGGATCTCGATAGTATTGTCGGGATCAGTCCCGGTTTGCAGTGCTCTCAGTATATAGCTCGCAATATACTTTGGGTCACGGGAGGAGGTTAATATATGTCCTACCCTGACCCTAAAGAGAAGTATGGGATAAAAAGGTTACCCCATAGTTCTCTTAAAGAGGAGAGTCATTTTATCAATACCCATTTGTGTAAACCAAATTTTTTTTCCTACTGGGTCACATTTATCCAAGGTACTCGGAGCAATCACATGTTAAACACCGAATGTTCAAAAAAAGCTGCATACTTGGAAGTTCAAAAGCAAGAAGATTAAAGTAAACCTGACAAGAGAAATATGGTGGCTGTTACTGCTTAGCTTTCGTGAAAATGCTAGTTGTCTTGCAGTCACTGCTTTGTAAGAACTATGGAAATATGGAGTTCTGAGTCTATTTATTCTCTTAAAATGTGTTCACGTTTAAAAATATATATTTTTTAATTGATAAAGAAAAAAGTTGTAAATGTTCAACTATTAAATAGATCCTTGCTTTCCCTAATGCTTCCCTTACCGTGGCTGTGTATTGAGACTGCTGTACGTTCCTTTCAGGCTGGCTAAACTTACAGATCAGCTGAATTAAGATATTTCCAACATCTCAAAACAGGGATGGGAAGAATTTTCTGACTCATACTTTAGGACCATTATATCTGCAAAAGGACAGGCCAATTCAATTAAGATAGTTTTGTAGAGACTATTTCGCCCCTATCCATTCATTTAAATGCAAAAAGGCAGCAGGTGATACGTTACATACGGTATAGACTTCAGACCCTTCTTTCAAATATGCTTGGACATCGATCACAGCTTTCATTTCTAGGAACTTTATCCCCAATATATTTATTTAGGAGATTGATGCCTCAGAATTAACAAAAACACCATTTACTTTTTTTATGCCAGGAAAACAGTGGTGTTAAACTGCACATGAACTAATCCGTTGCCGCATGCTAAAATGGTCCGATTTAGTCTCACTGATGGCCACTAGGTGGCAGTGGTGAATAGCAGTGGCGTCTCTCTTCAGTTTAGGTTTGAAAATAAAAGGTGGATGCCGATTAGTTGCCGTAAGCAACTGCTCTATTGCCTTCTCTAGTTTTAATAAATTCCACTCATTGTCCTTTGGTTAGGTGCTGAACTGTGGGGGGCTGAGGGATTAAGTACAGCAGCAGTAAGAACCATCAACCGTGTTTGACTGGCCAAAATCCCTTCAAATAAAGTAAGGTTAAAAGCTGGGATCAGATGAAGGGCAGGAACCGCAGGAAAGAACAGTACTTTAGAAAGGGCTTCCAACAGCTTACTGGTTAGGGTCTTAAAAGACAGGTGTACTTTAAGTGCAATTATCCTTTTAGCCCTTTAAGATCATGTTACTGACCCCTCCCCCCTGCACAGATGCATACTCAAGTGTTCCAATGGGCCGGACTTCTGTTGTGTAGTTACATCTTGTGGCAGACATCTCCCTCTCCTGTCTGTACCTGTATTGTAAATCACTATGGATAGGACTGGTCTTCCAGCAGGAAGACAGAGGTGGTCAAGCCCCATAGAAGTCCTCTACCGGAATAGTGACACCTTGTTCAGGTGGGACACTGCTGGGTCCACAGTGGGAATAGACCACTTGTATCCATTTGGTGAGAATTTTGTGCACAAGACTAATAAATGTTTAGGGGGTGGAAACAGCTCAGACTGGTTTCAATGAGGCGCACGCTGAGCAGAAACTGTGATTTTAATTGGGAACAGCAGTAAATTTTAGTAATTTTTTCCGGGGTAACCCTCATCAATCTAGGACTGGAGGGAATCAGTTTCTCCAGCCGCAGGGTCTGATGCAGCTGAGGCCACAGGCACATCTTATAAAGAATCTGCAGGAGAGGGAACTTGAGTGCAGTTGTGGCCTATATCATTTGACTCAAATCACCCAGTTTTTGTGGACTCCAAGTCTTACATGACTGTGGTTAAAACCTCAGCCGAAAGAGCAGATCATGCAGCCACACCAGATGGAAACCAAAGATGGCCTCAAGAATGGAACAGTCTAAGGGTAGAGAATAACAGGATTTAAGGGTACAAAATTGGCACAGTCGGTGCTCTGCATGCAGCCTCGGGGCAGTTTGCAGAATATGAGCTGGGGGCACCCCAAACAGCAGGACTGCTTGCCTGTGTCCAATCTTTCTGGAAGTGGTATAATAAACTGAAGGTTAAAAAAGACTTCCTGTGTCCCACAAGGGTCAAGAAAGAAATTTAGGTTTGGCCATCATACTAAATGCCATTTTTGACAGAAACCTAAACATTAGTTCTACCGTGGAATCCTTTACATTCAGTTAAAATGCTGTAGTTTCTACATAGTGTACTACATAGTGTATGTGTTCTTGCTAATAAATTGATGGAGCCACTTCCAGTATCTCTTGCTGTGTCTGGTATGCATATACAAGGCATTTGCCTGTTTTTGTGAGTTTAGATTTCTCAAGTGTATCTTTAGGCTATGTTCACACCATCACCAGACCAGATCTGCAAATGCAGTGAGTTTTTGCTGGTTTTTTTCCCCTTTAGCTCAAAATTGGTTCTCAGGTGCAGTCCAGTCTTTGCATGCATTGAGAAATGAGAGCAGCAGTTTTTTTTTTTGTCCTAAACGGATCGGACTCGCTGGTGTGAACAGAGCCCATAAATACTATAGGGATACTTTGGAATGTTTTTTTGGTCTGGGAACAAACTGTTCTAGACATTGTGTGAACAAGCCCTGAGGCCATGATGATCAACGTGTAAAGCAGACACTTACAAAAAATTTGATAGGCTACCAAGAGCACTTGGGGTGTTCCACACTACTGCAGGGAGTGTTTTAAAAACTAGCAAGTAGAGCTGCAGCTAACGATTATTTTCAAAATCAATTAGTTAGCCGATTAATCGGATAAAAAATAAAATGGGTTTTAAAAAATGGCTTCAGTGATGGACTACTAGTTTGTATTGAGATTGTAGTCCATCACAGGAGCAAGATTTGAGCGGTGGAAGTAAAAAAGAAAAAAACAAAAACTGGTGTGCAATATAGTGAAATGTAAAGTAAAATTATACATAGTCACAATATAGTAGACAGTCTTTTTTTTTTACTACTTCTACTGTTTCACTTATACAAGTACACAGCATTTAAAAAAAATCCCCTTTAATGGCCTGCTACTGGCCTTGTAACACTTGGCCACTCTTTTAAGTCTATACATCTTATGCAGCAATGGATAATGGATTCATTTAAAGAATTGTGCTCCTGGATTTGGAGCACAGCACACTTGGCCATCGTTTTCTGTAATTTAACCTAATGGTTAGAATTAGAGATGCACCGATACCGGTATTTTGGTACAAAGTACGAGTACCGATAATTTTTTTCCGGCATTCGCCGATACCAATTACCAAGTAACGGAAGTCCCATTCAGGAAGCCAGGTGGCGTGTAATGACTCGCCACCTGGCTTCCTGATTAGCCGGGAAGCGTGTAAAGAGTCGCCAACCGGCTTCCCGATTAACAAGAAAGTCCCCTCTTACCTTAGTATGTGCAGCCCGTCACCCCCGGGGCCTTTCCAGCGAGAACACGGCCTTCGTCCGGTACCCAGCCGGAGCAGTCTGGCCGGCCAATCAGGAAGCCGGGCGCCGTGTAATGATGCGACGCCCTGCTCCGATTGGCCGGGAGGCCGGCTCCATGCTCTCTTTCAGCGTGTAATGACGCGCTGCCCGGCTTCTGGAAGTACTCGTGCTAGGCATCGGAGCATTTGGGCGAGTACGAGTACTTTCCCAAATACTCGAAATCGGCACCGATAACTAAACTAGTATCGGTGCATACCTAGTTAGAATACTACCTATAAGCGGATAAAGGACTGACTTTTTAAACATCTGTCAGCACAATATAGACAGGTTTGGTATTTGAAACAACTACCCCAACCCCCCAGACAGTAAGAACTAAGCAGGATTTTAGAGTCCTTGAGTTAGCCCAAAGAACGTGTAACCACAATTTTTTTTTTTTATACTATGTGAATGAGAACATGTAATACTTTTGAAGCAGGTACTATCCCTATTTGGCTGAAAAAGTGGAAATACACTTTAAGAATGTATGACATTTCTGGCCAGTAGTTTGCTTAGACAAAACTAGTCTAAGAGCTCTAATTAACAAGGCACATGTAACAAAGTAACCGCATGTTTTCCTTGGGCTCATGAAACCTAAAGCTGAATTTTGGCTTTAACCTAAAGAGATCAAAATGACCTAAATGCATGTCAATGCTAAGACATTAGTATAAAACATACAAAGATTAAAAGACCTGTGAAAATAAATTATGTTGGGGAGAAAAAAAAAAAAGCAACAACCACACCTCGTTCAAAACAAATAAGAATGAATACAGGCTAGTGAGGAATAACTGCATATACTACATTTAAAAACAGAAGAAAAGCTGCAAATACTCCCAGGTAAGAAAAAGAAACTCTCCTACCTACAACAGAAAAGGACTGTCCAAGTGGTACAGTTTTGGAGTTTCAATCCTCTAAGCTATCAAAACGAATTAAAAAAAATGATAAAAATAAATTAATTTAATCTGGGTAGCTTCCATACATAAACATTTTACAAAGTATGAGCAAAACATATTTGCCAGTGTATTTTTGAAATATTCATTTTAGTCCCTGAAGAGCGAGATGACTTACTGGCACACTTGACAGGTTACATCAGATTGGAGGCCTCCTGTGAATATTTGGTCTATGATACAATTACAGTGGTTCGGATTGTTGGCCTTCTTTCCATTGTCATCACCTGAAAAAACAAACAAAATGAAAACAAGGTGAATACTTAAAATAGCATAATTGTTTTTGGTTTTTTTACATACTTTATTCTATCTGTATTAATTCTGCAAAGTTATACTGTATAGCCATTATTTTCCGTTTCTGCTTTAGAGATTCCTGAATCACCTGTTCACTAGACAATGAACACCTAAATGTGATAACACCGATTCACTATTCAATCAGCAGGTTGGAGATAAAGGAGTCAATATTAAGTTGAAAAGCTAAGCCAGGTTGCCTTCTTCTTGGCACCCTTTAAAAGCTAGGGTTTCACTCTAAACATAAAAAAGATGGAGGTATAAGCTTACCAAACATATGGCTTTACTAAAGCATCCCAGCTTTCGTTGGATATCAATCAGCAGCGGAATGCCCCGCTCTGGACTTCGTAAAAATGCACACGTACCATTGCCAGCGTTACCATGACTACCTTTGTGTGATATACCCAAAACCTTCAGCCCCCTTATGCAGCTTTCACAAAAAATGTGGCACTCCCATAAATACTCTGAAGGCCTGCGGTCCCCACATCTACCGCTCCTCCCTTTATTTTCACAAAACCAGGTTATACTGATCCCTCTACCTTGCGATGGTGGATAGATAGTTTTAACATTGTATATCACTTATGTACTTCAGATATGGCCACATGGAACTATATCAAGGAACGTAAATGGCCATCTGAAGTGGAGTGGTTTCGATATCTTAAACTTCATCATTGGATCTCATCATTGGCCAGAAGGAGAGATCCAAAACAACCACTCGCATGCTTTGAACATATTTGTCTGCACACCTCGGAGGGTCCCGAGTTGGATACAGTTTTATATTCCTAATTGAATAAGCTTTCCTATCATACTTTACATTCCTATGCTGTCAATTGGGAAAGAGTTGCGGCAGTCTTCGACAGAGGAAATTGGTTTAGTGTATGCTGTGTGAATGGGAACATGTTACTAATAAAAAAAATAGGTGCTCTCAATTTGGCTGCAAAAGTGGAATACACTTTAAGGACACTAGCAATGTCTAGCAACTGTATGATTAGGCAAAACAAACACCAACAAAAAGTCTTAAAAGCAATACTCAACTTTCTCCACTTCCCTCAGCATCATCCTCTTCTCAGTTGAATGACTTCCAGCATCAAACTACTTCATGTGAGCCGAGGCCAACGACGACACAACCCCCCCAGTTCAACCCCCTGCCAACCTCGGGTGTGTCACCACTTTTTTTTTGTTGAAACAAATGAAAACAAGCCACATTTTGAAAAACCAATGTAGACCAACATAAAGTTCAGAGAATACGCTTACCTTTGCAATGTCTGTGTAGTACATCTAATGCAGCAATTAGAAACTCATGTGCATCCTGTTGCTCGTACCCTGCTAAATGCCGTGCATGTGTCCATACAAGGTGCAGTAGCCTATATGGAATGTGTGGAGATCGATGCCCAGAGTAGAACTAAAACAGTGGGGAGAAAAAAAAACAACAACCTAAAGAATACAATAAAAACACAGTATTCAGGACTTAAAAATTAATGTTTTCAAACCTGAGCAATAACACAGCTACTACAGTCGAAGATAAAAATATTTTAATAAGCCTAGACTATAATATTTAATTGGATAAACTCTTGTGGGTTCTTCTTAAGTAGACTTTTTCATACTTAAAAGAGAAAACACAGAAATAACAGCAATTAGGAAATGTACTTCTACAATTGGGTAGGTTGAAATTAAACATGCCTACATATATTGTACTTCTCCATAACAACTAAACTTTTATAGCATATGCCAATAATTCCCTCCAGATCCTAACATGGAAGGATATAGCGAATTGCAAATCAATTCTTAATGTACATGCAGACCACTGAACCTAAAAAAGTACAACTTATCATAAAAGCTTTATTAAATGCGCCACAAAAAAATTAAATACCCATGCAGGATGTCCATGGAGAACTTTTGGGCCTGAAAGAAGACATTAACTGTCTTCAGATCCAAGATGGGGTGGATGCCTCGTTACAGCTTGTAAACTGGTTGGGAGTAGAATCAATGAAACCATTTCACCGCAGGTGTGTGTTGGAGCAATAACATCCCACTAGGGCTGTATGGAAATCTGTTAAGCTGTGTGTTGGCAAGGGATGAACCGTGGAGGGTGGTGGGAGCGACTAACTTGTAATGCCTGGAAACCGCCTTTTACACCCAAGCATCTAAGAAGCAGGGTGCCCAGAAAGGATAACAGCTGCCCCCTCCATTTTGGAAAGTAGGAGTGCACCCTCATGCGGATGATAACTTGGATGTGGGTTTGGGAGACTTGGAGCCAGAGTTGGGTTTTGTTGTAGAGTTTGAGGCTATGGAGTAACCAAAAATGACTGTTCTTGCCCTCCAGCGAGGAGTGAGCCTTCAACTTCTTTGGCTGAGGAAGACGAGTACTCTTGTCACCTGTGGCATCTTTGACGAGGCACTTTTTAGATGCAGGCTTCATAGTCCAGTACTTTAGCCAAAGTGTCCTCCTCATGTTTACCAACAGGAGACTCATATGGGAAATGGAGGCGAGATTACCAAAAACCATCAATGCTGTAGCTCCATGCTGAGGGCATGAGTTCTAAAAACTATGACCAACTGCCATGGAGACAATATATACCTTCCAATAGATTATACCGGTCAGTCAGGGCTTGACAGATCAAGGTCACCTCTAAAACAGATGCAACGCAGGATCTGCTAGGGAACAGGGTTTAGAGAAGGCCTCCAGCCACTTGTCAGCAAAGTCCTTAAAGACAGATGCATCGTCAACTGGGATGGTAGTTTCTTTGTAAAGATGGGAAAACAGATCAACAGAAGGGACTGAGCACTTTTTAACAAAGTCTTCCTCAAATGGGTACAGAACCGAAACGCATTTGGAGGTACAAAACATCTTCTCAGAAACAGGTGCACAGGAAATGTCTTGGTGGTCTATGGAGCTCTGAAGGATTCTAGACTGGAACAGTGCTGGTAGAGGCTAGAGTTCTATCAGTGTGAGCGAGAGCAGAAGACAAAACACCTCAGGGCACGTTCATACGTCAAGGAATAAAGAGAATTAGCATCAAACATTCTTAGTGGCTCTAGTCTGAAGAGCACCTCAAGCACAGCCCAGTGTCCAAAGGACACATTACAGGCCCTGCACCCTCCCCGCAGTGGGGTCCAGATACAGCCTGTGGCTGGGCCATGGATCAGTTGAACCACAAAGCTACAAAGTAAGCTCTTCCAGGTCTGCAGCAGCTGGAGACTCAAAAGAAAAATGATCTTGATGAAAATGTAGAAAAGTGGTTTGCTTCGATCTGAAGGGAGAAGGCGTCCATTCTAGTGAGAAAAACTGAAGCAAGGAGTAATAGGGGTTACACTGCCTGTACAACAACTTTGTTTTCCGTGTCTAATTTTTCTGAAGGTGGGAGCATAACCAAGTTACTCTACTCTGTGCCCCTTAATGAAGTAGTAAAATTCGTTTTTAGCAATACTTACTTGATACAAATCCTACTAGTTTATATTAAAACTTTCACAGGCACTATGGTTGCAGATCATTTAAAAAGTCTAATCTTTTTCTTTTCTTGTGCACTGCCTACAACACCTCTGGGAAACTTAGAAAAATTAGAATTGGCTGTTTCCTTTGCCCACAAGAGGCAGGAAAGAGCAAAAACTTAAATACTCAAATAGAGGCAGCACTCTGCTATAATGAGCTTACCTCTTGAAAAAGAGTTGACATTTCACAAACCAAGCAAGAGTTGGGGCTTTGCATTTCACATTTGTGGCGATCAGAAAGGAAGAAGTCTCGTAGCAGGGGAGTGTGGGTAAGTGCCTGGACGATACAGTTCATAAAACATGTATTCCCGAGATTGATTAGGCCTCGCAGACCTAGGAAAAAACATAAAATTACTGCTTGCTCTTAAAGAACAGAGTATAGTCATACTTATGTTCAGTAGAAGTAGTAAATTATCAAAAGGGAATACCGAAGAGTAAATAAAGCAGAGCATCTCTCAAAAATTAGAATATAGTCAAACTTTGTAGTCTTATACATATAATAAAAAAAAAAAAAAACTCTGAAAAAAAGGGGTAGAAAAAATTAAATATAGGTATTCATGAAGAACCCACTCAACTAGGTTCAATTAAAGTGACACTAAACTCAGGAGTTAAATCTTAAAAATACATTCAAGGAACGACAGTGTCATCACAAATTCAGAGATGATTTGAGGATCTACAGCCCAGTAATGCACAAAAAGGCTACATTATTGTTAATAGTTAAAGGTACTTGAATGCATTTTTTTAAATGTAACGCCTGAGTTTGTCACTTTAAATACCAATATATTAAACCATAAGCTATGGAATGGACACAGCTACCAGAGGACATGCACTTGCTCCACTTTTTACCACAATAGCCTCCACTGCAACACTGTATAGTGGAAAAGGTACACTAACTTACTATTTCTTGCACATAGAGCGGCAATAATCAGGACAGAATAGATCCAAATGACCTTGTACAAAGGCAATAAATAAAGTGAGTGCCTCTCCTTGCCTGCATGCGTCTCTGCAATACGTACACATGCAGAAAATGTGGAATTTCCAGGAACAGGGTAGTTTTAGAAGAGTACAACTGATATTTGTTAGCCATGAACAGGCAACATTTTGTCAGATGCATTGTACACACCAGAGGTGGTTTATTCATTAGAATGTGCATGCTCCCTATTTTCGGTCATCTTTTATTGTGCATGCTCTGCTGGATTTTTTTAGGTCTATACAACTCATATAGAAGGGCAGTGAACTCCTCAGGGTTCCATAAAGATCCAAGGGATTTAAAGTATATGGATGCGGTACGAAATCAAATTCTCGATGTGATAAGTCAAACATTTGTTACTCCTAAGCAGTTTCTAACTGTGGACACATTTTAGATTGGCCACACACAATGATAAACATGCAATCGATAATAGCTTGGTAGCATTGAATGTTTTTTCATATTAAACTCCTAAAGAATAAAATTGGTTTGGTATTTTGTTTTTTTAATAGAATTATTCCTTTTAAAAGAAAACCATCCTTTATTGTTCAAACTGCACATTAAGTGCACTAACTTTGACAGATGTGATTACTACATCAACACAAATGCCAAGTTATCAAATTGTATCTGCATTGTTGGTTTTGGACCATTTAACCAGTCTTAATACATTGTAACCACTTACAATGTACATCAAGGGGCGGGGGGGAGGTATCTCCATCCACAAATATGAAAGTGGTACTAAAAAGGTATTACCCTGTAAATGTACCTTTGACCTGGAATTCCGCTGAAAACAGCCGTACACCTTCTGGTATGAAAGGGTACTTAGATACTCCTGTGCCTACAGCATCATAGCTGCATAGCCGTTGTGTGAATCTGCTACCTCCGACTGCTAATCGAAGGAGATTTGAGGAGGTCACAACTGATTCCTCCTGTGTAAACCTCTAACAAGAACATTGAGCAGCAAAAACCTGCCTGTACCAAAATGCCTACATATAAAGACACAGTGCAAAACAAGGCATGGGAAGTCAGTAATGGGGAACAATCAACTGCTGTGAGAGCACAGGCAATACTGACTAGTCTGACTAGATATTTGGTGGGAACTTCCCATGATTTCACCTTTCCGGCTATGTATTTTCAGCATCCATAATAACTAGGGATGCACCAATATTTGTTTTCCCCCGGTACTTGCCGATACCAGAAGTCCCATTAAAAGGAAGCCAGGCGCCGTGTAATGACTCGCCATCCTGCTTCCTGATTAGCAGGGAAGCCATCCCCATGCTTCTCGTCACTATGTGACGAGTAAGCAGGGAGCCAGCCTTCTGGCCAATCAAGAAGCCGGGCGCCATGTAATGACGCGGCGCGCCATGTAATGACGCGGCTCCTCGATTGGCTGGGAAGCCAGCTCCATGATGAGGGAGCATGAAGCAGGGTTCCCAGTCAATCAGAAAGCCGGGTGCCGTGCCATTACATGGCGCCCGGCTTCCTGATTGGTCAGGAAGCTGGCCAATCAGGAAGCTGGGCAGCGAGTCATTACACGCTGCCCAGCTTCCCGGCTCTCTCGTCACAAGTGCAGAAGGAGGGGGAGTGGGTCAAATGTGCAATCTTGTAGATACCTATGGTGCAGTTTGTGGTTATTTTCCTTCTTTTGGGGTTATGCCGTAACAGCTCTAGCTCCCGCTTTGTTGGCTCCCACGTTGAATACTTTTCTCCAACACCTAGATGAACATACATAAAACTAAATTAAAGTGTCTCGTAGATGTCTACATGGAACAACAAAAGTATAAAATATACAGGTAACATCTGGATATATAATTTTTATAGGCATGTAAAAATGACACAGACAAACATTTTTTGCTACAAGTAGTGGGTGGCCAGTTGGCCCTTAAATTAGATAAAAAGTAGCACTCACAGTTTGGCAGAGCTTAAAACAAAACAAAAAACACGTCTGACTTTCTTAGAAAGTCAGACAAAAAACAAAACAAAAACAGTCTGCACTGAAATGCTGAAAGTTTTACAAGCAAAAATTAGGAGGAGCTCTTCCATGTTACCCCTCATTTGGCATTTTGAGATTGCAAATTGCTGTAAGACTTTACACAAAGGGCAACTGCAGTTAGTGTGCAACATGTACAAGAGCTTTCAGAATACCCGAACAGAAGCTGCAGTCACCGTTTACTTGACTTTTTCCATCCCATAATTTGTCGAATGGGATAGTGTTGGCAGGCCACCCACTACTCCAATTTTGGGTGGTTAACAGGAATTTGTCAAAATTTGAGCCATGTATGGGCAGCTCAGCGGACCCAGTGCACACAGTCCCATTCAACTTTGTGCAGGGGTTGGAGTATCGTGGTCAGATATCTCCCTCCACCGGTTTGACAATGCTGGACAAAAGTAGATGACAGTTCTGACTGACAAGACAAGCCCTATCCCCTCCTACTTTAAAAGCTGCCAGACTGAAAATCTTTAGCTCTGCCATGTACACATACATTATTGTGAAAAAATGCTGTAAAGTAGGAATGCTTTCAAAAATACATATATTTGTATTGTTTATTTTTATCAATTTCCAAAATCTAAAATCAAAATCAATATTTGGTGCGACTACCATTTGGCTTCAAACCAGCATCACTTTTTACACTTGCACAAAGTCAGGGATTTTGTATGATTAGAGTCAGGTGTATGATTAACCAATAATACCAAGCAGGTGCTAATGATCATCAATTTCATAGGTAGGTTGAAACACCGTGATTAACTGAAACAGCTGTGTAGGAGGCTTAAAACTGGGTGAGGAACAGCCAGACTCCACTACTAAGGTGAGGTTGAGAAAGACAGTTTCATGTCACAGGTTATACACCATGGCAAGACTGAGCACCGCAACAAGACACAAGGTATCATACTGCATCATTAAGGTCTCTCCCAGGCAAAAATTTCAAGATGTGCTGTTCAAGCTCCTTTGAAGAAGCACAAAGAAATGGGCAACATTGAGGACCGTAGACGCAGTGATCAGCCAAGGAAACTTAATGCCGCAGATGACACATCATGCTTTCTTCAACATCAGGGAGATGTCCTGAAGCATCAAACTGGAAGAAACCAGTGGCACCCAGGTACATCCATCTACTGTCCAGAGTAGTCTGGCCAGAAGTGGTCTTCGTGGAAGAATTGCAGCTAAAAAATTATACCTCCGATGTCGAAGCAAGGCTAAGTGACTTAACTATGCATGAAAACATAGGAACTGGGGTGCAGAACATTGGCAGCAGGTGCTCTGGAGTGATGAGTCAAAATGTTTAATATTTTGGCTGTAGCAGGAGGCGGTTTGTTAGCCGAAGGGCTGGAGAGCGGTACAATCATGTGTCTGCAGGCAACAGTGAAGCGTGGTGGAGGTTCCTTGCAAGTCTGTGGATGGCATTTCTGCCAATGGAGTTGAGATTTGGACAGGATGAATGGGGGTCATCAATGCTGAGAAATACAAGCAGATACTTATCCATCATGTCATACCATCAGGGTGGTGTGTGGTTGGCCTCAAATTTATTCTGCAGCAGGACAATGACCCCAAACAGTCAATGTCATTAAGCACCATCTTCAGTGTAAAGAACAAGGAGTCCTGGAAAATGATGGTTTGGCCCCACAGAGCCCTGATCTCAACATTGAGTCTGTCTGGGATTACAAGTGACAGAAGGATTTGAGGCAGCCTACATCCACAGATCTGTGCTTAGTTCTCCAAGATGTTTGGAACCTACCTGCCGAGTTCCTTCAAAAACTGTGTGCCTTCAAAACAGCATCAATTCTTCAAGGTACACTTGCAAAGGGTGGTCACACCAAATATTGATTTGGATTTCTCTTCTGTTCATTTACTTTCCCTTTTATTAATTGATAAAAATAAACTATTAACACTTATTGCTGAAAGCATTCTTTCACACCTGCCTAAAACTTTTGCAAAATACATATATTAGGGAAGTTCCGATACCGATACTAGTATCGGTACCGATACAGGGCATTTTCAGGAGTACGAGTACTCCTGAAAAGGCCCCGATACATAGCGCTGATGTCGGCCTTTTAAATAGGTTCAGGCTGCTTGCACAAGTCATCCGCCCAGATCACTGGTATAGCAGCCTGCTTGTCTCCACCCCCCTCCAAGGTCCGTCCCGTCCCCCACGGTTTTCAGGCTCCCCTGCTCTTCTGGGGGACCTGGGACCACGGCAAAGCAGTTCAGGATGGAGAGCAGAGTGGAGAACATCCGTTCTGTTTTGCGATCAGTGACACAGGAGCACTGTATTCACAGCGCTTCCTGTGTCAGCTGTCACAAACTGAGCTGCACAGAAGATACAGCATTGTGCTGTATCTTCAGTATTGGATGGCAGGCTCATGGCAGGCGGAGCCTATATCTCGATGGCTGTCCTGGAAGATGACTGGGGAAAACAGTGAGGTAGTATGTGCGCTGACTGCTGTCCTCTTTCCACTGTGCCATATTATGGTAGTGGGGCAGCATCACCAACACGCACAATGCACATTGAAGGGCAAGTTCACCTTACCAAGTAATTTGGGAAAATGGAATTACCTGCTTAATTCTGTGGGACACACAGACAGACACACACACCTTGTGCGTATACCTTTTTTTTTTTTTTTTTAGTCACCAACAAAATACAGGTTTGTTTAGTAAAAACATCCAAAAACACACTAGCTAAAGAAAAGGTAAAACGAAGTACTAAAAATCCTACCTGTCATTGTGTACTGGTAAGGAGAAGCCAATGACGGAGCAAAAGCTAAAGAAAAGAACAATTTGAATACTTTAACATCTTACATTTTGCAGGTCGAACACAATAAAACAGATGCATCTACCTTTCAGAAAAAAAAGTCATCAATACAATCACTAAAATATACGGTATGTCATTTTCCATGTGACTGCTACAGTTATTCCTACAATAAAATGGAATATAACAAGTAAAATGACATTTGAAGAAGCACAGTCTAATATTATAAATGGCCTCCCATCCCACAGGGAATTTGTTAAAACAATGTGTACCTCAGGTGATCGGCAAGTGATGCTACGCATCATCAATGACATGACCAAGCTTTATTTTGGCCTATAGTGTTTACCACTCATGCTGTATTTATACTATTTACAGGCCAAGAGAAAAAAAAAAAAATGAAACAAGCTCTTTGAAGATATATGTAAATGAAGGGAAAGTGTCCTGCTATACTGTATTGTGCATTAATTGTGGCGTGTACAAGTTTTACACCAGAGTCTGTTTTAAAAAAAAAAAAAAAAAAAAAAAAACAACTGAGGGCATCATTAATAAGATTAAAGAACTCCAGAGAAAAGTTGAATTAACCCTTGCAGTGGGGCTACCCCCACACTGCAAGGGTTAACTGCTCATTTGTGTCTAGCTGGTAAAAAAAAATTGTTATACTTACCCGAACTTAGACTCTATGCTTCTCCGGTCACTGAAGCGTGTCCCCTCTTCTGCACAGATAGAATATTCCTCAGCGTCCTCACATATATATGCTTGTATACAGTGTGATGACACAAGAATGCTTAGACTGCTGCACCAGAGAGTGAGAGAGGCTCTAAGGCCAGTCTAAGAACAAGCTGGCTGGTATGATCGGGTGAGTAGTATTTTTTTTTTTTAAAGCACATAGAAACAAAAGAGCAGTTCACCCGTGCAATGTAGGGGTAGCCCCACAGCAGTGGTTAATTAAAAAAATTTCCCCATTAAACATCTTTACTGTACCCCAAAATTTCGAGAGAGCTCCTGGCCGGCCGTTTTTTTACTACGGCCGGCCCGGAGGTAGTTAAATTTCAGAATTCTTAGCTTGGCGTGACTCAACATTCTTCCTCCCTGTTCAGAAACAAGACCTGCATCAAAAAACAAAACTCCAATTTACATCTCATTCTTCCGACAGAACACCAGACCATGAAATGATAATCATTTTAGGGCTCAATAATACCAGAAGCGGTGACTGGTGTTTTTTCAGCAACTGAACGCCAGTCAACGCTAGGGCACACAGAAAACAATGATGTGCCCCATGGTATAACATGTGGTGAAAAGAAGGCAGAGGCCTGAATGGACTAATATATACACTAGAGCTGCAACAGTTAATCGATTTAGTCGATTAAAATCGACGATTGAAAACGTTGGCAACATTTTCGATCGTCGATTCGTCGGCTATTGATTGATTGGCCTGTTCGGGGCTCCACATGCGGCCTGAGCCACACGTCACACGCTGCTCCCGCTGCGGCCGCCGTGCGCACGGCACAGGCCGCGTGAGCCACGCCCACCGCATAGGACGCTGAAGCCGATGCTCTACACCGCCACGCGATCTCCCTCACTTATCACTGGCCTGCCGACAATCGAGGGCCCACCTTCTGAAAGCAAGTCAGTGGTGGAATAGGTGTACGGAGCTGCAGTGTGGAACAGGTGTGCGGGGATATAGTGGTGGAATAGGTGTGTGGGGGTGCAGTGTGGACCAGGTGTGTGGGGGTGCTGTGGTGGAACAGGTGTGCAGTGTGGAACAGCTGTGTGGAGAGGCAGTGGTGGATAGGGGTGCAGTGGTGGAATAGGTGTATGGGGGTGCAGTGTGGACCAGGTGTATGGGTGTGAAGTAGTGGAATAGGTGTATGGGGGTGCAGTGGTGAAATAGGGGTGCAGTGTGGAACAGGTGTGCAGGGATGCAGTGGTGGAACAGGTGTGCGGGGGTGTGGTGGTGGAAAAGGGGTATGGAGGTGCAGTGTGGAACAGGTGTATGAGTGTGATGTGGTGGAATAGGTGTTTGGGGGTGCTGTGGTGGAACAGGTGTACAAGGGTGCTGTGTGAAACAGGTGTATGGGTGCAGTAGTGGAATAGGTGTGGGGGTGCTGTGTGGAACAGGTGTATGGGTGTGAAGCGGTGGAACAGGTGTATGAAGGTGCAGCGAGGAATAGGTGTATTGGCGTGCAATGGTGGAATAGTTGTGTGGGGGTGCCGTTGTGGAACAGGGGTGCTATGGTGGAACAGGTACGAGTTACGCTACGCACGCCGCGGACGCCACGACCACGCCGCGTATGCCACGCCCACCACACAAGCCGGACACACGCCCGCAGAGCACGCCGCCGCGACTTACAAGGGTTCAGAAACAGGTAAGGGGGACCTGTTTTAATGTTTCCTAATTAAAAAAAAAAAAAGCGGCACACTGTAGAACACCAGCAGCTATAGAGGAACAACAAATCCCAGCAATAATATATTAAAACACCTGGTATAATGTATCATTGCTGGGACTTGTTGTTCCTCTATAGCTGGTGGTATTCTCCATTGCGCTGTATAATGTATTATTGCTGGGATTTGTAGTTCCTCTATAACTGGTCAGTGGTAATCTGCATTGCGCAGTATAATCATTATACAGCGCAATGGAGAATAACACCAGCTATAGAGGACTACAAATCCCAGCAATAATACATTATATACAGCGCAATGCAGAATAACGCCAGCTACAGAGGACTACAAATCCCAGCAATAGTACATTATAGTATAATGTACTATTGCTACATTCCTCTATAGCTGCTGGTATTCTGCACTGCAACGCAGTATAATGTACTATATTGCACACCACACTTTTTTTTTTACTTCCACCGTGCCAAGCTTGCTTCTGTGATGGACTACAATCTAAATACAAACTAGTAGTCCATCACTGGAGCCTTTTTTTTTCTTCTTTTTTATCCGATTAATCGAACTTAATAAATCGGCCAACTAATAGATTATGAAAATAATCTTTAGCTGCAGCCCTAATACACACACGGTTTTTTTGTGTGTGGTAAATTGAAATGGTGCATCCGCTGGACCTGTTTTACTACACTAGCATGCAGGCAAGTGTGAACAAGTCCTTTGTAATTTAAACCATTGCGGATGACTATGCTACTGCCTTTCCTTGAAGGGAAGCTGGCTTAGGCTCCCTTGCAAATCTAGAAAGAAAAAAAAAAAACCCACTTTTTTTTTTAAATACCCAGCAATGCAATTTAAAAATGGTGTGTAGATTTGACAGCAAAGTTAAAACAAACAAAAAACAAAAAAGGTCATAATATTTGTTAGGCCCACCAATCTTGCATCTCCATATATGTGAAAACAACTGCTTTCAGTGAAATGGTTATATTCTCCAAGAACTCTTACTTCACTGGTTTGAGTCAATTACATGCTACTTAATGTACAGTTATGTGAAAAAGTAAGTACACCCCACAGAAACCCAATACAGAAATAGCCGGACTGCAAGAAAAAAAAAAAAAAATTCATAGGAGGACATACATACTGGTTACCTTGAATGACACACAGTAGTCATGTTCTAATGTACTTATTGGACAGCACTGGCTCCCTTTAGGAGCACTATGGGGAAAAACACTGACCCCATAGTTCTCCTTAAGTTGCATTGGAATGGCTTTAACCCACAAAATAATGACACTAGCAATACACACCCCCCAGTTACCACACAGCAGCGTGGTGTCATGTCCCAATGCTTTGAGGTTTGTACTAGTCAACAAATGTTCTATTCTAGATAATTGTTGCTCTGACTTACAAAGAACATGTTTATGAAAGCATTAATCCTGTTTGACTAATTACAGTCTCTTGCTGAATAAAGAGAGCCTGTCACCTTTGAATGATAGGACCTAATAAAAGGACTTTTCTACTTTGTAAAATGTGGTGGTCACTGTAACTACTTTTTTTTCCTGCTAGGGGGCATGCGCAAGAAGAAGAATACAGTAACAGTTTTAAACAGCCGGTACCAGCAGTTCCATACAATTGTAGAGCCGCCCGATTGCTTGTATGGTGCCCAAGACTGTGCGCCCCCCTCTGCTGCTGGCTATCCAAGGCTCTGCTGTCCCCTGTGCTGGACCAAGACCAGCACAGCGGCTGCCTATACTGAGAAAGGAGGGAGATCAGCATTCTTCCACTTGCTGATCTCTCCTCCGATCTCTGAATGTGGAAGTGATGTGCATTACACTGGCATCTTTGGGGGTCCCTAGGTGACATTTAGGGGTCTTAGAGACCCCTGATCTCTCCATAAAGAGGACCCGTCATTGTATATTTGCCATCACATAGGTGGCTTGTTAGCAATAAAGTTGTGTAAAAAAAATAAAATAATAAAATTCACATATAAAAACAAACTTAAATCACTGCCCCCATGTACACGCACATACAAAACGTAAATATGCGTTGAGTGCGTCTATGTGCGAAAACAACAATTACACCAGACATGTTACATATCACGAGTGCGAGAATTCTAGGGCCATCACGGTTAATGCTAAACTGATGAGGGGTAAAAGCTTTTGAAGCATCTATGTCCAATTTTGGGTATGATAGTTTTTTTGTGTGGTTGTAGAGTGCTTGACATGTTTGGGGTCTATTAACCGGACGTGATGCCATCTTTTATATTTTACAAAAAATGCGGGTAATAAATGTTTCATAATGTAGGAAAAAGGTAGGTTTTTCTGTACTTTCATTATATAGTAAAAAAACAAAAACCCCAGTGCTTATTAAATACTACCAAAAGAAAGCTATGTGTCCCTAAAAAAAGGATATAAAATTGAATTTCAGTACAGCGTTGCAGCATGACTGAATACTAAAAACTGGCCTGGACAGGAAGGGGCTTTAACCTCCCTGGCGGTAAGATTCTTTTGATTTTCGTAATTTTTTCGGCGCAAGTTTTTTCCGTATCTCCCACCCCCGTGCGATGCGTACGCTCGCAAGGGACGGAACCCGGAAGACAGATGCCGGCCGGAGGACACCGCACGGCTCGAGGGACAAGGTAAGTAAATACTATGAGATATTCCCGAGTGTAGCTCAGGGTATGGAGAAGTAACCCCGAGCTACACTCGGTAATACCGCCAAGGAGGTTACCCTACCGGTCTTCAAGTGGTTGAATAAAGAGAGTTTCCACCAGGATACTACCATTGTTACTTTGACCATCCTTTTAATTATTAATATGACATCTGAAACAATTGGAGGGAATGTGACGTCATGGTGATGCCTGGAGGCGGGGCTTGTAGGTCACATTGGTTTTTTTGCCTGCACTTATGGATATATTGTGATAACTACACTGTACATGTATCACTTTGTTTTGCTGGAGGAAGGAACCAGATGTGTTCCAAAACGTTGCTACACTTGGTAATGTAACTTTACACATCGAATATAAAGAACCTTTGGAGTGCTGGTGACTTAGTGCTTTCATTTAACCCCTTCGTGACGGGAGACGTACAGTGTACGTCTTGTCACTTTGTGCCTATATGACTGGCCACGTACACTGTACGTGACGAGTTATATCAGGCTTTGTAATGCCGGTATTTGCTGATTCTCAGCATTTAACAGTCATTCATTAATGTCTCAGTATTGAGGCATTAATTAATGAAATAATTAAGCTTTTTGTAAAAGCTTCTTCCTTTCATTAATGAAAGAATGAAGCCGTTACATGCAAATAGAGGACCGCAATTTGCGATCCCGTATTTGACAGCTCAAAATAGCAGAGAGGCAGCAGTGACTCACCTCACCTCTCTGCTATTTGTTTTGACAGTTCGAGAGCCCGATGTTTAGATACATTTCACTGAAAGAATACAATGTATCTCTTTTGAGTGAAATGTATCATTTCTGATCGTCTAGGCACGATCAAAGAGCTTTTAGTGAGATCTGAATCTGACTAAAGTCAGGATCAGTCTCTAAGGTTATTATTAGCTGTTCCTAAGTTTGGATCAGCCTAATAGCCAAAAATAAAATAAAAAAGTTAATTTATCAAGCTGTCATAGTGATTGCTTGATATAAACTGACAAGAAAAAAAAAAGTTTTTTTATTTTATTTTTATTTTTTTTACAAAGTGTAAAAAAATTAAAATAAAGTGTAAAACAAAATTAGGAAAATATAAATTATATATAAATATATTTTTTATACTATAATTAATATAAAAAAATTCTAAAAAAAAAAATAATAATCAAAACTTGTGAAAAAAGTGTTTTCTTCTAGTTTTTTTCCTCATTTTTTTAATTTTATTCAAACTAAGTGAGGGGTTAGGTACACATATGTGATATAATTATATAGCCCTATCTGTCCTCTAAAAAACTATATATAATATGTGTGGGTACATTTAGTAAGAAAGTATATTACTGCTGTGGAAGAATCACACAGCAAAAATGTAAAAAATGTGTCAGTCATTTATGAACAGAACCTGAAAACTAGCTCAGTCATGAAGGGGTTAAAATGATATCACCTTTATCTGTAGGAACTGTTGAAAATATTTGCATGTTTCAATTTGTTGAAGTCACTAATCCCATGTTACGTACTTTTTCACATTGACTGTCCTTAACAAAACAAGCAAAATGTTAATATATGCTAAAATGTGTTTAGGAGCACTGACCCATTAAAACCTTACAACGAAGACAAAGCAATAAAAACTTCAACATGACCAAACTGTAATGGACATCAGCTCTAAATTCAAATTAAAAAAAACTTTTCACTATTAATACCTTTACCAACAAATTTTTTTTTTATTAACTAGAAATATTTGACAGAATCATAAGCACAGTACCTTGCAATTTCCATGCTTTTCTTTGTTCTTCTTTGGCAACTTGCTCCATGTCTTTGTCATATATGTAATCTTGACACATAAAGCAGTATATACCCCCATACAACAAATCTATGGCTGTAGAAAAAGATCCAAAAAACAAGGCGGTGAGACAACAAGACATGAAAAAGCCAGTCATATTTTACTTGATAAATCTCTGATAAGAAGCTTTTGAATGTAATTAACTGAGGACATTAAACCAGACTCAATAAGGTGCTCAGAAACCTATATAGTCCCAGAATCCTTCTGCTTAGTAAAGTGCACTGAAGCTTATTTCTAGTGTATAAAAAAATGGTATTTTGTTGTGTTTGGGGGCATTTAATTAAATGTGTCACTAAATTTTGGGGTTTAATAAGGAGTTGCGCTAATATTGCACAACATAAAAATTTGCAACTACCACCATTTTATTCTATAGGGTCTTGGCATTCAGAAAACATATGTTTGGGGGTTTTAAGTCATTTTCAGGCCTAAAATGTGGAATGTAACATGGGTGCAAAAAAATTAGATAGGAAGAGCCAGCTGTCAGTCACGCAGCTGGGCGGATCCCGGCACAATTGTCAGGATCCGCTTTAGCGTCTCAGTATACCGCGAGCCACAGCTTGCGGTATACTGAGCCTAGGGTGACGGGAGGACGCTAGTTTGTGTCCTCCCGTTACCCTGAGAACTATGGGGAAAAGACTTAACCCCATAGTTCTCCTTTATGGGTTAAAATGTCTACATGCTTCTCCTTTGCATGTTAGCTGGGGCTCTGTGGGGGTTAAAGGATTAGAACCCTAGCTTCTGCTTTCAAATGTTAATGAAGTGAGAGAATTACAATCCTCAAATTTCAGTAATAAAAGTGCCCATACACCAGGGGTCTCAAACTCAATCCCCCAGGGGGCCACTTGCCAAATTGCATACTTTAAAAAAAAAATGTAACTATATCCGGTTTGGTACTACGGACCCCAATATACTAGGGATGCACCGATACTAGTAACGGTGCTGATGCAGAGTATTTGGGCGAGTACTCTTACTTGCCCAAATGCTTCGATGCCTAGCCCGATACTTCCTATATCAAGAAGCCGAGCAGCGCGTCAATACATGCTGCCTGGCTTCCTGATTGGCCGGGAAGGCGGCTCCATGCTCCCTCTTCACTACAGACGAGAAGCTGGCGAATCAGGAAGCCAGGCACCGTGTAATGACGCAGTGCCTGGCTTCCCGAATGGCCGGGAAGCCGGCTTCATGCTTCCTCGTCACCTCATGACGAGGGAGCATGGAGCCGGCTTCCTGGCAAATTAGGTAGCCGGGCGTCGCATCATTACATGGCGCCCGGCTTCCTGATTGGCCAGAAAGCCGGCTCCATGCTTTCACATCAGTGACGAGAAGCAGGGGACAGCTTTGCTGCTAATCGGGAAGCCGGGTGGCAAGAATTTACACGCTACCCATCTTCCCGACTAATCAGGAAGCAAGGTAGTGAGTCTTTACACACCGCCTGGCTTCCTGAATGGGACTTGCGGTACTCTATCGGTGAGTATCGGAAAAAAATATCGGTACTCATACTCGATACCGAAATACCGGTATTGGTGCATCCCTACAATATACACACAATAAGGCCCCATTCATATCTGTAGGTTTTAGGTGCAATTAGGGATTTCTTTGTCAGAAACTTACGTTTTCCTGCAGCAGGAATCCCTAATCTGGTCTTACAAGTGACAGCTGTCACCCATTCAAGTTAATGATCAGGTGACAGCAGTTGCATGTAAACTTGTGCACACCGCATGTAATGTCATATTACATGCATTAAAAATGCGTAACATTACATTAAAGTGCATTAACACTTTTGCAGCCAAAGCAGGATAAAATAAAATGCAGCTTGCATAAAACTTGCTTCATTTTCAAAGAAACGTTTTTCTTCTCTGTACTGAATTTGCCTCTAGAATGCAAGGGGGGTGGGGAGGGCAATGCTTACAATAATTAACCCTGTGTGTACTGTGCTAGCAGATCTCATCAGTTGTAAACTAGATTTTAACACTGCCTGTGGTTAAAGATCTACAAGCTTGACTTCTTTTACTGCAAGTTAATGAAGGGGAGCTCAGTCTGTCCATTAAGACAGTCAGAGATAAGCTTGCAAAGGCCTGCTTAATAGAGATCTAAAAAAAAACCCAAAAAAAAACACAAAACTAAAGGCTAACATGGGATCACAAGTCATCATTTTTTACCCAACCACTTGTCTCACATTTTTGCTCTCCTGGCACATCACTAACCCCAACACACAGGTTATCTGTTGCATTTTAGTTAGGGTTCATCAGGGGTAAGAAGTCATTCCGTACATCCCAGACTGTATGGAATTTAATTGGGCATTTCCTCTTTTGGAACGTGATGTTCCCAAAAGGATTATTTGATTAACAATGTTTCCAAGGAACTAATGTAGGTAGAAAGGGGACATCCACCACAGGGCAATAGTTTTTCTGGGTGAGGAAGAGTTTCTCTAAGAAAAAGCCTTTCATAGTGATGCCATTGCTCTTCATTGAGAATACTGAACAGGAGTATTTCTGGAAAAGCAGGGACAAGTTGTTTCAGCCAATTGGATAACAGATTTCTAACTTGGTGCCAAAAGCCTGTAATGGAAAGAAAATACCAGATCATATGGATAAAGTCAGAAGAATGTATTCATCCATTTTTGTAAACATATAAGGGTTGGTGAATAATATGGAGCTTTAATATGTTTTCTCATAGCTGGTGACACGGATAGAGTTGACCAAATATCACAGTCCTCATCTGATAATGTAGGGATTAACAGTAGCTAGAGGTTTCTTATGGAGATAGCTTGGTCCTTAGGAGAGTGGTTGAGATGCGAGTACAGTTTAGAGGGGAGTCTTAATGGCCTTGGGACTTGACGCGCATTTCCAACTTTGCAGAAAAAGAAAAAATCTTATCGATCATTTTTTTCCCATTTTTTCGATAGATATAGAAACTAAAAATGCTTCTTAAAGTTCAAATTGCTTTTACTTGGGTTAGGGTTTCTTGACTTAAGGGTTAACATTTCTACTTGCTTCCTTGTTCTGTTAGAAGGGGCTGTGGGAGGTTTGTTAAAACTGTCTGTACTGTGCTGGCGTATTTCATTATAATTTGAAAGATGATTTGAACACTGCCTGTCCTAACAAAGGGTTAAAGAATTAAAAAAAAAAAAAGTCTGGCTTCTGCATTGCAGGTTATTGAAGTTAATGAGAAACACAATTCACAAATTAAAGCCCTAAGCCTCTCCAAGAACAGATCACTGGGAAAAAAAGTTAAAAACCTGGATTTACCCATTTTGCCAGCCGCAACAAAACATCTAAAAATAAAAATATTTTGTTATGCTGTGTGAATGGGTACACAAACATATTGAGGGTTTCTCATATTTGACTGCAGAAGTGGAAATAAATGTTGAGGATGCAAATTAAGGTGTAGTTAGATATTGGTCAGAATTATAGAACAGTGTCTAGTCTATAATAGGGCTGCAAGAACTGGGAGAGAAAAACAAAAACAAAAAACAAGCAAGGCAAAACTATTCTTGTAACTACTGTACATAAATAGTAAATAAAATTGGACCTTGGTATACATCAGCCAATGAGAGGCCATGTGATTTCCAAATCATTGTCAGGAATAGTACATAAAGTAGAGGAGCAAAGGGTTTGTCCCAAAGTGGGAAAGGGTCAAAAAGACTAGTACAACATTTTCTTGGTGACATTACATATAAATATAGCAAGTTCATAAATGGTAGATTCTGACTCTTACCCAGTCTAACTAAACTTTTTTTTTTTGCTTAGCACAAAGCTCCAATAGGATTTAAAGCATGAAATGATATCAAGCGACTTCTCCCTTGAACAAGTCTGCCTTTGCATTTGGAACCTTCTCTTGTCCTGCAAAAATTCAGATGGTGTGGAAGTAAAGAACTTGTTACACTGAAGTCCTCTTTTCACAAGTTTGGGGAGAAAGCTTTAGAGTATAGCTCTGCATCACCACCTACTGGTTAAATATGCAATCAGATCAAGATTACAAAATAGGTGTGATTTACAAGATCAGAACTTGGTTACCAATGTGGGATACAACAAAAGTTGTGGGAAGAATTTAACAGACCCCCCTCCAAAAACATGCGAGACTTAAGGAACTGGAGATAGTCTTCAACTTTGACACTAAACTGTCGAATGAAGGGATGCACCGATAACGGTTTTTCAGTATAGAGTACCAATATATATTTTTTCTGTAATTGCCGATACTGAATACCGTAAGTCCCATTAAGGTGACAAGGAAGCATGGAGAAGGCTTTCTGGCCAATCAGGAAGCAGGGGGGCGAGTAATGACTCACCACCCGTCTTCCTGATACCGGAACTTCCAGTATAGGGATAAGTATTAATTAGCATTTGGGCGTGTAAGAGTGCCTACTAAAATGTAATGAAAACCTCTAGCAATGTAGGCTAGGGAACGTATATGAAAGCACAATTGTCCCTGAACATGTATATAAGCAAACATATGCTGCACAACATAGAACATTCCATATATATGTTCATTACGTAGGCAGACCCTCAAAATAAAATATTGGATGATTTTATTTTCCAGAATAAAAATGTTGAAATAAAATATATGCATATGACTGCTTATGTGGAATAACAGTTTAAGGGTTTAAAAAGGATAAAAGATCTTAAAATTATGTTTTAATCGCGGCCACAATGTTTATTTGACATCCTGAAGTCTTTGTTACTATTCTGCCTTGAATAGTGGTGCCTAGTACAGTACTAGAACAGCTGGTGAACTTCATGAAGAGGACAGTACTAGGTTAGATTAAGTGGAATCGACTTCTGTGTATGTTTTTTCCCCCTAAAGCTTATGCAGAAAGCACTCCTGCCTTTACCCCTTCTCCACCTTTATAAAACGTATTTTTGGTAAAAACATACACAATGAAGTAAAGTATGTTCACAAAGTGAGGAGTGCTCTCTCTGCAATGTGAAATATCCCTTAGCTTACTAAATAGGGTAAAAGGTGGTGTTCAATTTAGATACCAAATCTTGTGCAAGGGAAAACAAAAAAACCCCACAGGAGATTTCTTGAAATTGAATAAAGGCTAACTTTAATTTTTTTTACCATGGTACAGCCATATTCAGGGTATAACATGAACCAGGGTCACATTCCCAACTCTCCACCCCCATCCCACTTAGCTGAATCACAGGCTTCTCCTTTCAGCCTCCACAGAACCCACACAGCCACATCATCCAAATCACATATCCTTTGACAGAATCAATGAATGGCGAGAGACTGCAAGTCCTGCCTGCCACCACAGCAAAGGGATTTGTAGTTCTCAAGTGTGGTGACATCAATGCACTTTTAGTCCATTCATTGTTTCTCCGGTCCCTTAGTGGAAAGTTCATTCCTCAGTACAGACAAGGGCTGGGAGGATGAGGGTGCAGGATCCAGAGTTTTTTTTAACTACAATGCACTGATCACAGCTGCTACGCTTTGCAGGCTTAAATGCAAAAATCTTACTACAATCTTGATTTGCTTTGTGGATTTCTTCCAGATATCTGCTATAATCCACCATGAATCTTTGCCTTTATGCAGTAGTTTGCTCTAAGACCAAAAACTGCTGCCCTCTCCTTGTGCAGGGTGTCTGGTCTTGTATAAGCCCCCACCTGTAGTTTTCTGTACGCATCCCAAAGTGGGTGGGCCTGCTGGGTCCCTCCCACAGCTCTGATCAGGTTATGCCTCCACTACTCTTGCAAGGTAAAACCTGGGTTTGGGGGATCACAAATTGGATTTATGTCCTTTGTGGATATTGGAGATTAAAAAAAAAGGCATGCTTGTGTTTATCTGAAGTTAATCTTTAAATAATCATAGGATCTCTCTAAGCCAATAACATAAATATGTCATATTGCAGCTTATCCGCATTAGCTATGATGGCTGCTTTAGTTTTCACAAAATACTTGACCTGCCAGAAATGGTGTCTTGCAACTTCCCATGAACTGAAATAATATAGCAAACACTGGTTATGTGTTCCTTCCAAGCTACCTCCTGTAAACTAGTACTTCATTTGAAGTTGTTCAAAAACTCAGATGAGTTTATTTTTTATTAAATCAAACTAGTCTCCGTAGTTAAGAGAACTATGAGGTGAGTGCTCTTCACTCACCTCATAGTTCTAGCCGACCTGTGACTGTCACAGGTCGGCTCAGTAGATCGGGAGGTGAGCGAACATATACCGGCGTTCGCTCACATCTCGATCCTGTCACGGCTCTCTGCCGTGACAGGGGAGGGGCTGGATTCCCACCTCCCCGCTCTGCCAGCGCTGACTGGCAGAACGGACGTGGGAGGGGGCGGGTACAGCTGGCTCTGCCTCTAGATAGGCAGAGCCAGTTGTCACTCACGCAGCTGGGCGGATCGACATCGATGTCGGGATCCGCTCTGGCGTCTCAGTATACCGCGAGCTGTAGCTCGCAGTATACTGAGCTTAGGGTAACGGGAGGATGCTAGTTTGTGTCCTCCCGTTACCCTAAGGAGAACTATGGGGAAAAGCCCTGACCCCATAGTTCTCCTTTAACAAAAAGGCACATATTTATAAAGTAGGGAATATGACATGTACAAGTAGTTAATGATTTACTATAAAAAAACAAAAAACAAAAACCACCAGGAACAAATGTTTGGTGAATATCACATTCACTTTTTTAATCCCTTAGTGACGGGAGACACACTGTACGTCCCCATCACTAAGTGCCCACATGACTGCTCACGTACACTGTACATGCGCAGCTATTCAGGGCTCAGGATTGCAGTTACCGCTAAAATGAGCGGTTACCGTTCATGAATGGATGCCTCACTAACGAGGTATCCATTAATGAAAGTTTTAAGTAGTTTCAGACACCCGATCGCTTTCAGTGATTGGGTGTCTGACAGTGATACCGCACTTCCCATCGGGATTAGCAAATAGAAACATTCAGCAGAAGCCGAAAGCTGCCCGTTTCAGGCATTTAATCATTATGGCAACCAGCCACAACCAGAAGTCTTTAGTGGCATCTGAATCGGACATGCTGCAGTGCATGTCAGTCAGTGTCATTAAGGTTTTATGTCCTTAAGTTTGGGGCAGTAATAATTAGGGATGTCCCCATACAAGCATCGGTATCGTGACCTATACAGGGCATTTTGACAAGTACTTGTCAAAATGCCCCGATACATAGCGCCGAAGCTTGCAGGTTTTTTTTTTCTCCTTTACTTGCCTTGCTGCACCAAGCGTCGCATCACTGCTGTTCTGGTGGGCGGCGCTCCAGGTGGGGTCCTAATTTAGGCGGCCGGCGACTGCCATTCCAGTATTTTCCAGCGCTGTGTCTGAAACCATTTCTGGGTGCTTTGGGTCATTCTCCTGCTGTAAGACCTATAACAGGGACCTATCTTTCTGACACTGGGCCCTACATTGCACCCCAGGATTCTTTGGTAGTCTTCAGATTTCATAATGCCATGCACAGTCAAGACCTCCAGTGCCTGACGCAGCAAAGCAACCCCAAAACATCAGTGAACCTCCACCATGTTTGACTGTAGGGACTATTTTTTTTCTTTAAAAAGGCCTAATTTCTTTTTCTGAAAACAGTAGGATGAGCTTTACCAAAAAGCTGTCTGTTTCGTCTGTCCACAGCACATTCTCCCAAAAGGATTTTGGCTTCCTCAGATATTGGATTTTGCCAAAACCTGTCACTTTTTCACTGTCAGCAGTGAGGTCCTACCATAGCGTCCCTTTCCATTCAGATGGCGATGTATAGTGCGAACTGAAACAGTTGCATCCTGTGCCTGAAGGTCAGCTTGAATTTGTGTGGAAGTTGATCGAAGGTCTTCATCCACCATTCGAACAATCCTTCATTGCAATCTTTCATCAATTGTTCTTTTCCGTCCACATTCAGGGAAATGAGCTACAGTGTCAGACTGTAAAGTTCTGGACAATGTTGCGCACAGTGGACACAGAAAACATTAAGATCTCTGGAGATGGACTTGTAACCTTGAGATTGTCCATGCTTTTCAACAAAAACTTGTAATGCAAAAATTTCACGTTTGGCTTATTTTTTCTCTCCACTGTGTGTCATAGCAATACAAACAAATTAAATTAACATGAGAATGCCTAAATATTTGTAATTGCAACAATGTTCTGCATGAAGGGGTGCATTATCTGACAAACACGTTTTTCTGTGCTGTCCTCTTATTTTAATTTTGGTTCCCCTGGTCTTTAATAGATCTTGCTGTGGCACAAATTTTTAAGTGGGCTGTAGTGAGCACAAATCTCCTGAAGCATGTCATCCATCTCCCATCTGCATTTCTGCAGACTGACTATCTCTTGTCACATGCAGAATGACAACAGTTTTCTGTATTACTACTGAATATTATGTGCGGCCCCATGTCATTTCAGGAATCTCCCTTGAGGCCCTGTATCTCAATAAAGTGGACCACTACTGCTGTTAAGCCTTCAGTCTCTACCTTTAAAGCTAAAGCCCGGCCACCTGATGACCCTACGTTCAATGAAAGTGGCATAACTGGCTAATAAGGCCCACTCAGTGAACAGGTGCGTGATGATTAGTACCAAGATGGGGCTCATCTTTCAAGTCTTGAAGAGCAACCATGAGTCTCCACACATACTTAAAAAAAAAAAAAAATTAGGATCTGCTATGTTATAGGGAACATTTAGAAATATTAATTGTGTCCAACAGTACCCTTAAAATTGTCCTTTTGTCTTTAATTGTTCCTGAAAAACAGAAGTACACTTCCTGGTATGCGAGGGTGCCCATGTAGGCATCAGCCAACAGCCTCATAGCTGTATAACTGCAGTGTGAGATTTAAGGCACTGCTGCCTCCGACTGCTAGTCTCAGGATATTCAGTGAGGTTTGGTAATATCACTATTGTGCTGCTCGCGGATCTCCTTGCTGGAGACAGACACAAGGAAAAAAAACCCTGTTGCTATACTGTAAAGAGACACAATGCAGAACAAGGCACAGTAAGTCAGTAATGGAGATATGCTGCAGGGAGACCACAGGCTACATTGGTGATTAGTCCTTTGCCCTCTTTCTGCTTTTTTTGGGGACACACCGGTCGAGTTCAAAAACCATTGATTCTGCCAGAAAAGCAGTAAGCTCATAACTTCTTGCACACTTTGCCTGAAGAAAAATAATACAGCTGCCACACTTGTAAATTTAATCAGCTGCAGCCAATCAGAATTAGCTGTAATATACATCAGCAACATCTTTGTATTTTAAAATAACTTACCGAGATTGTGTCTTTTAAGCTTTGCGTGTTCGTGAATATGTTTCTTTGTAAAACAACCGAAGAACACACAGTACAGGCAAGAGTGAAGTCTGTTCAGGTGAGCACCACACATATGACAGATGCACGACTTAGCCTAAGGAAGAAGAAAAAATAAATATATGGATTACCAAAGCAAAGTGTACATTTTTAACGCATTGCAATGCAACTTAAATCACTGTCCTTTTTGTGGACATATACCTGTATATGTAGACTTTAAAAAAAAAAAAAAAGGATTTATGAAATTATTTTTTGTTATTCTGTTAATGAAAGAGTAATCATTGTCAGGTGGTACACACATTCTCCAAAAATAATTTCTAAGATAACCACATTTAAAGATTACTATTTGTATGACAGTCTTAAAGCCCACATCCAGCAAAAAACGTTTTAGATATCGCTGGGAAGGGTTAGTACAGCCACATTTTTTGTGATCCGTGTCTGGAATTGAGAGGTTTTGGAGTTATCAAGAGTGAAGAAACCAGAGCGCCACAGCCTAGCGCAATAACACATTATGCACACTCCCCATCAAGATGGTTTTGTCTTTCCCAGTTCCGGCTCCATGTTACACACCTGTATAATCCATTCCATTCGTGCCTCTCTCCCCATGCTGCAATACCCTATACCAAACTTATTCGCAGGATGCCACAGCCTGTCATTATGTACAGCACCCGTCATCGCTGAAGCCATCAAGATGGTTACGTCTCTCTCAGTTCCGGATCCATAGTACACATCCTTTGATGGTCTAATATAATCCGTTCACACATATCCAGCCCTGACACCGTTCAAACCGATTTCCCGCCCACTCTCAGCCCCGTCCACTCCTCGATCCTTTAAAATCTCTCCCGCCAGTATTACTCTCCCCTTCAATAGGCTCGATATAGAAGAAGTTATTTACTTCAAATAGCATCGCCTTGCCTCAAGCACCTCCAAGCTGTATGGTTGTACACAGAGGTCCTTGCCCGTCTCCTGTCTCACCGATCCTCCTCACACTCATTTTGCTGGCGACATTCTACCTACCTTCCTCCCCAGTCTTTCCAGCTGTGCACTCTGCTGTACTGCTCCACCACTACCGCCCTCCTCCCCTTCTCCACGTGGGCGGCAGTAGTAACAAGAACCCAAAAGCAACTCATCTCCACACAATGACCGCAAACCACGGACGTTCTCTGCCACCTCAGAAGCACTGATCCGCTCCTGCTGTTACAACACACACCACAGCATTACCACCACACTGTCCCCTCCCCCTCTGCACCACGCGGGCAAAGAAAAACACCATTTCAACCCCAGTTTTAAAAGCATTCAGAGATCCAGTCAACAACTCTGCATATACCAAAACATCTCGACTAACATCTGCCCAATCACCATCATCTGCAATTAAAGCGCCACCCGCGCCTGTTCAATAACTGGACGCAAAAAGCCTGATCTAACTCTGGACTTCTGACGACAGCCCACTTACAACATCCATTTGAGACCTATAAGAGGAATCGACCCCACTTTTAACACCAGCATACCTCTGTGTATGAAACCGGACAGCTGCTGCATCAAGGGTGAGTATTCCATTTTCTACTTTGGATCCACTCATACCACTATCACCACTTGCTGTCCTTACCACTATCACCACTTGCTGTCCTTACCTCCCTCCGGTTGCAGGAGACGGAAGCCGCAGCCACCACCCTGATGGCACTACGTTCTCCTTAGTGATTTCTCCAAGAAGCTCTTATGAGCTCCCACATGCGAGTGTATTATTGTACATACTACTTGTCCCATTTAAAACCGAGTTATTCGCTAGGTTGTGGTGCTCTGGTTTCTTCAATTTTGTTTCTTCCAGCGTACACGTCACCAGGAGCAGGACACCAGCATAGGACACTGAGACCCCCCCTGAAGAGCGCTGAAAACATTGGACTTTTCACCTCACTTCCTGTTTATTTCACAGGTATCAGAGAAAATTAAATCTTCCTATTTCCCATCTAATTAACTGGGGTCTCACAGAACAAGGGTCAATCTCCCAATGGAGACACAGCAATAATAAAACAAAAGTTTCTCATGTAATAACGAAAGCTTAGAAATGCCGTCAGGATTTTAAATACGGTCTATATTTCCAATGAGCAAGATATCCCCTCACTTTTTTGTCCAGGCAATGCAGGTCAGACAAAAAAGGGAATTCTCATCAATGGGAAGAAGCAAAAATTCTATTCCTTTTCTGGTTCTCAGCTCTGATCTCGACTGATTGGAGGGAGCAACAGCACCTCCTGGCAAAATTGAATTTTTCTTGAACTAACAACACCTTTGAGCCCTTTGAAATATGGAGTTTCAATTAGTGGTTTTATTCGCCTACCTTTTTTCCCTTAAAATGTTTACGTTGCATGAATTTGAGTTTATTCAAGTGACACAGAAATCATTCACATCTGGGTTATACTGTCAATTACAGGAGGATTTGGACAATGGCCAAAAAAACCAAAAAGTGAACAGTCTGGTATAAACCCGCTCAACCACAGCATGTCTCAGTTTTGTAACAAAGCAGTGCGGAGAGCAACAAATGCAGAGAAGTAGGAGCTGCGTTCTCTTTTCTTTTAATGGGACACAGGATTGACATTTGGGATGTCCAAAAGTGGCTCACAAACAAGGGTTGGCAAAACAGTGAACAAACCCAACTGAAAAAAAACAAACTGGGGACTACCTGCAGCTCAAAGAACTGCCTGAATGACCTTAAACCCAAAGTTGGCATCAGAAGAGGCTAGAACATTAAGGCCCCGTTCACATATAGCGACATACCTTTTGCAGCGGATCCGCACGGCCGGGATAGCGCGACTTTCGGGGCGACGTTCCAGCGACGGTAGCGCGACCTTCCCCGTCGGGCTCCATAGAAAAAAAGTAAAATCGCGCAAAATCCGCCAAAAAAAGGGTCCGGTAGAAGCGACGAGCGACATGGAGTTAAGACAGCTCCATTGAATAACATTGGCCGGCGACTTCTCGCGATATCGCGCGGCAAAAATGCGCGATATCGCCGCGGAAATCGCGCGACAATTCGCTATATGTGAACGGGGCCTTACCTGGCAAAACCTCAAGAATATGTAAACAGAAGAGCAGTTGGCAGCCTTGAAAATCTGGGAAACAGTTGCCAGTTACTGGAAAGCCCAGGAAGCACTCATGGATCTTAGGCTGGGTTCCCACCTGGGCGGATTGAATATGCGCGTTTGAGGGATACTTGGCTGTATCCCAATGGAACCGCCCGACCAAAACGCCCCAAAGAAGTACATGTACTTCTTTTGGCGTAGGGCGGTTTCCCGCGCGTTCGTACTCGCGGAAAACCGCACAGATGGGAACCATACACATTGAAAATAATGGCATTTCCCTGCTTGAGCGGTTTTCCGCGAGTACGAAAGCGCGGAAAACCACCTAGGTGGGAACCCAGCCTTAGAGTATGACCTTGACAGGAAAGGGTCAAAGCCAGTTCTTAATCATTAGCTCAAAATGATGGATTTGTCTAAGCCACTGAAATGGTGGAATGAGAAGCTATTTCCCTTTTACAGGGACCATCAGGGATATAAAAAAATAAAAGAAAAAGGAGAAGAGTCAGTCATTTTAACAGACAGTGGCTGTGAGGACATGTACAGCTAAAAACTACATTTGAACAATAGAGGGAAATCGCCCGATATACTGGGGCTGGACAGAACGTCAGGAGTGGAACCTTATCCTTTAGACCAGCTCTCAAACCTTTTTCAGTCATGCCTCCTTTTTGCAGTATGCAAAATCACGAGGCACCCCAGTCAAAAACGTAAAACAATTCATGGTTCTCCCCAAAAACCAATACAAAACCATTAATCTAGACAGGGGGTGAGGTATGATTTTTAAGGGGATACCCTAGGCAAAACAAAAAAACCAACACAAAAGCAAACCACATAATATTTCAAATGTGGCGTTTTCCCCCCTTCAGATCAGAGTCTCTCTTCCCCCTCTTTAGTGAAAGATTGACGGCATCACAGACAAAGCTAGAAGGCACCCCCAGAGTGGCTGAGAAAGGCTGCTTTCAACTAGAGGATCAGATCACGATCCATCTGAAAATGGTGGAACAGGATGGGTGTCCCCCTATGCCTCGAGAGCCCTCAAGGGCTCTTTACAGGATAAGACAGCTAACAGATTCAAAACAGTATATAACACAGCGCCAACGGCTTAAGTCCAGGCAGGGAGATGATCTGCAGTGATCGTAGTATAAAGCATAAATGAGGCAGGCTCTCAAAAATAGGCTTTAGGAAAATTTCAACTCTGGAAAAACAAAAACACAGAGAGCGCCTCCATCGTGTAAAATCTTTTTAATAAAGAAAATTTAAACAGATGCAAACATACTCACAAAAGTCAAGCTTAAAAAGCATGAAGCGATATAAGCATGAGAGACTTAACCCGCTGGCTAGTCTTCCTCCCTGATGGTTAACGTTTCCGAGGTCACGCCTCTTTCGTCAGAACCAAAATCGGTATCGGCATTGGTTCTGACGAAGGAGGCGTGACCTCGGAAACGTTAACCATCAGGGAGGAAGACTAGCCGGCGGGTTAAGTGTCTCATGCTTAAATCGCTTCATGTTTTTTAAACTCGACTTTTGTGAGTCTGTTTGCATCTGTTTAAATTTTCTTTATTAAAAAGATTTTACGCGATGGAGGCGCTCTGTGTTTTGTTTTCCAGAGCTAACAGATTCGCCTTGTAGGAGGTGTCAGCATTAAGTAAGGCAACTTTGTGAGCGAGGGTAGACAGGGGGACATCCCTGATAAGTATATGGTGCGATGGTAGATTTCGCAAGAAGTCGACTTCCTATAGTTCGGAGCTTCCCTCTGGATATACAGGTGGGGTGTGACCAAAGAAGCTAGGGAAGCCTCTGAAGACAGATCACATTTGGGACCCTGTGGGGAGAGGTAATTGAATTCCCCCAGAGCCGTTAGCCAAGCATGTGCTACCTGGGCCCACAGACCTATTCTCCATTCACCTATGATCCACCATGTGAAGAGAGGTGAAACCACAACAATAGTTCAGAGCAGAAGCGTATGCCTTCTGTGAACAGTCACTGTAGGCAGATAAGTCCAGTACGTTCAATAATCACCGTTTAGTGTTCT